CCTACAAGGTAAGGCCTTTGGCGGAGTTTGTAGGGTTGTTCTGTGCTGTTTATTATTATTATGACTTTTGTTGTTATTATCCTTTTTTTTTTTTTTTTTTTTGCTACAGTTAGTTTGATTATGTTCAGATGCAGTAGGATAAAGGTAGTGGTAGATTTATTAGGATGTGTGTGTTGTGAATTTTGTAAGTGTGTATTTTTTTTTTTTTTAAGCCATTTCTCTTTGTGTTGATATGGCTGTCTTTCTTTTTTCTATTTGTCTTATGCTGTTGTTCTAAATATGTATTGCATTATGATACACTATGTCTGTTTCAGTGGTTGATTGCTTGGTGTATAGTTAGTTTTATTATTGCTTGTTATACACATTAGATCTGAAAAAAATAAATTTGGGTGGTATCATATTCACAAGCAATAGGATATCTTCAGTCATGCCAGGTGTTTATTGTTATAGCAGTCATACAAGGGGACATTTAGGATGAATCACGTTAGATGTTATTTAGCATAAAACTAGCTGTCATAAATTGTGTTTAGCATGAGAAAAATATATACTCTATTTGCATTTTCTTTCAGAACTATCACCTAAGTCCAAAGCAGCTGCAGGAATCGGGAGAGGGCTTCTGCGTCGCCTTGTCCTATCTCATCTCCACACCTGAAGTCCTGAATTCACGACTCAGGCTCAATTCAGACAGGTATGGGGCCTTCAGCTTATCTGTGTTAACTATTTTTCAATTTACTTTTCTCTAGAATCTTGTAGTTGCTTTTCTTGTATGTTGCAATGTTGAGCTTTTCCTAGAGAGCTTTCCAAGAGGCGTATATAGAGTTTTAGTTTGGGTGTCTCCATGTGCTGGACACTTTAAATATGCTAATTTCATCCATACTGGTGTATTATTTTTCATCTAACAACAAGCAAATCTACAACTTTAGGAACTTTGCCATCTAAAAGTTACTTATTCTAGATTCTGCCTCTCTTTTTCTAACTTTTTAAAGTTTTTGATTTCAGTTTCTTATTTCATATCTGCTTTATTCTTTCTTTCTCTGCAGACACATTCATTTGGGATTCCTTTAGCATCAAAAAGGCAGTTTTGAATATTATTTACATTAATATCTGTGCTTCTTTGAGATCATGTTTGCTTCCATTATACATATTTATTAGCTTATTCAGAGGCTTTGTGGACACTCAGTTTTTTATCAGTTTTGTCAGATGCTCTGAAATTATCTTATAATTTGCTTAGCAGATTTGCACAGTTAGCTTTACAGTTCTTCATCTCCCGTCTTACATTCCATTGTCTTTTCATGTGATAGTATGATAAACTGTTAAATGGAATTCAAAATGAAGTGTGATCTATCTCTTTTGAAGTCAGTTCATCTAGCATGGAAACTCACTTTGCATCCGGTGATATTTTTCTCCTAGTGATGATGATCATGATGATGATGATGATGATCACGGTGGAGCTGGCAGTGATAGTGATAGTGGTGGTGAGTAGGTGTCAGGGCAAGCATTGGTCTGAGTTCGCCAGGAGAAGTGGTCTCATTCTCCGCTTTCTCCAGGTAAACACGCCAGGGAGGGGGACACTTGGGTTGTGGAAGGAGGTGTGCATAGAGCTGTGTGATCCATACCCTTTTATAGAACCAATCTCAGAGATTTATAAGTAAAATTTTGACGGAAGATTTCAATTTTCTCTTGTATCAAATTTGATGTTGATGATATTCCTTGTGTGACTTTGAGTGATATATTTCATGTGTTCTTTGTTTTTATTGGTTTCAGTCATGTAATGACTGAAATGGTAGAGAGATCAGCACACTTTTTAAAAAGTTAATTAAGTAAATTTTGAATACAGTTATCAGCACTAGTTATAAAAATATGTTCAAGGAACATTATGAGCTTTTATTCACAAGAACATCTGCATGAAGGAAGCAAATGCAGGAATTGCATAGGAAAACAATTGATTCTATTAGACAGTGGGTAACTTGATAGCAGTACGTCCTTGTATTACCAAGACTGAGTATTTTAAGTTATCTATCTCGTTAATAGCTTAAATCATTAGCATTCACGTAATTGAAAAGGCTGAAAGGATCCAAGCACTCTGCAGGACTTCTCTCTTCTGAAGCCAAAATAACGATACTCAAATTTCCGGTTTGCCTTGTGGTGTCCTGTTCAACCCCAAACTTCCGCTTACTCTTCCCCTTTTCTTATTATTATTAAAAGTCGTTGTGCAGTACATTCACGTTCAATATCTGAGTTGTATTTGTGTCGTTTGTAGATTAATGTTATGTCACATTAGGTAGATGTTTTTTTCTGTTTTAGTTACTCCTGTGGGCTGCAGGAACGAACTCTCCTGTTAAAGCTTATCATATAGAAAGTAATTGGATTATAGAATAACCTCTCAGTCATTAATATTTCCTCTGTTGTAACCCTACTTTTAAACCCAAAAAAAAATCACCCAGCTGAGACTAATTTTTCAGCAGTTGATATCCTGCCTGATATAGAGGTCTTTTTTTATGAGGCTCTTTGAAATTATTGTAAATATAATGCTGTTTAAGTCACTTCCTTAATTCAAGAAAAGAACCATTTTCTAAATAATTATACATAATGTGTAAAGTGTAATTCACTTCTTTTTTTTATTATTAGTCACACAAGTAGATTCTTAACATGAATTTGGATTTATAGTTTATATTTTTCTAAATCTTTAAGTCTTACTAATTTGATAATCTTTTTATTCCATAGGATTAGTAGTGTTTTTTTTATACAAAAACATCATGAATGTTACTGATGCTGTAGACTGCAGCATTTCCTTCATCTTTCTTTTCCATGCGTATTTTCTTGCCATTCGCTTCCAATTAATCAGTCGCAAGAGCTAGCAGCACATACTACTTTAAACCGAAAGAGGAAAATATTTATCAGATCTCACAGAGGCTGTCATTTTTGTCATCAGATTGGAATGTCACGTGAGAATGGTTGCCGAGAGGAGCCTAGGGGACTTCACCCAAGAAGTGGCCTTTTGGAGCGGCGACCTCGACGATGACCTTGATACAGATGATGACCTGGACCTTGATCTTTACGGTCCTGTTTAACTAGATGATTTGTGTTCGTGGAGATTTCTGTATTACTTGATATAAAGCTGCAGTAAGTTTCAGTTGTTCCTACAGTGCTCACTCTATAGAACATCTGTTTTGATGTGTAGAGGCAGCAGAGTTGAAGCCTAGATTTATAATCATGACAAGACGTGTATGTGCAATACAGTGATGGAATACCTGTGATAATGTGCTATAGTGCAGTGCCAAGTTCTCAAAAGTAAAAAAGTTCATATCTTAAAAGGAGAGAGAGCAGAATATTCACAGATACACCATAATGCTGTGATGAAAGTGTATGATTCATAATGTAATATTTTCTTATGCCTCTCTTTGCTGTACTATATTTTAGATCAGGAGATAAAGAATTGCATATAACTTGGATCATGGAATGAATTTATATCTTGGAATGTAGAATAAAGTGTGGAATGTTTGTGTATATATATATATATATATATATATATATATATATATATATATATATATATATATATATATATATATATATATGTATGTATGTATGTATGTATGTATATTGAGATATGTAATGACATTTGATGTATGATTTTGAGGGTTCTGTTGATTCTATGTCTACAACATCATAAAGTTTGGTAGCATTACCTTCACAAGATAAATATCAGATGAGTGGAAATGGGAAGAGAGTGCTTGTACTTGGGGCAATTTCAGTGTTATAAACCTGTTAGGATGTTTAGAAGACTGTTGTGGAAATTACAAGATTTGGGTTCTGAACTTCATCTACTTCAATAAGGAACATTGTGATATTATCTTAACACTCGGGAATAAGAATAATATACAAATCAATCATAATATGCACCCTTTGTGATTATTTGTGGTGCCAAAGTCAAAACATTTGACATAAAAGAAGGTCCATTCAGTATGCACAAACAGTGAAAGATGATAGTAGTCATAATGATACTAGTGATAATAGTAATAATTGGATAATGGAGTAGTCTAGGTTATTCAGGTAGTCGGAATGCTGACTCCAGCGAATATTTACATGCATTAGAACCTGCTGTAGATTTCCTTACCATTTTTTCCAATTTACTCTAACTGAGTGCATATGATAGATTCAAAAATTAGTTGACATAACTTGCTGAACCTAAAGTAAGTATATTACGTAGTTAATGTAAGAACATGTTGGGTTGATCCAGATGTATCATGGGTTCATAATGTGTTTCGAGACCTTTTACAAAGATTAGTGCTAATGAGTTTTACCTTTTTTTTCCTTCAAGTTGAAGATTCGTTGTTTTTGGAATTGAAGAGTTGCTAACATAAACTTTATTGATTCAAAAATAAATAAGGTGCTACAGAAAAGGAAAATAAAAAGTACAAAAAACTGAAGATAACTATATTTGTAGTTATGCAACTATTTATTTCTGAAACAAAATGAAATGTTTACACAACCTTCAAGGGGGATGGATTAACTAGCACATATGAAGCATATATCTTTTTAAAATATGCACTGATATAAAAAAGGTGCATGGGGCATTTTTTTCCTTTTCTTTTTATTGTAAAATTTGTTATTGTTTCTCATTGGGTGTATATGATATTGTTGAGTAATTACCCTCTGATTAATAGTTTTGATAAATCGATGATAAATTCAACTTGAGTGATAAGACCTTTGAGCCTTTTCTTTTCATCTTTGCAGTTGTTGAAATTTTCCTGAAAGAATTACAATAAGTCATTTGAACTTAGGTAGGTGCAAGGGTTGCTGTAGATGATAACTGCCATTTTTCTATTTTACATACTGTTGAATTTACAACTGCCATGATACTGAGAGGTTGAGAAACAGTTAGCACGAAAGCAGAAGCCGTTTCTCATTGTGGTCTTCATTCCTATGACTATATTTTTTATCAGATATATGTATGAGAAAATATTGCAGACCTGTAGTTGATCAAGATATGATGCTTT